TGTATGCTATATAAGACATTATATAAGCAATAAGAAAAAATGTGGTCAGAATTGGAGGTCCGGGGCTCCTGGGTGGCTCAGTGGGTTAAAGCCTCTGCCTTCGCCTCGGGTCATGATCCCACACTCCTGGGATGGAGCCCCACATGGGGCTCTCTGCTCAGCGGGGAGCCTGCTTCCTCCTCTCTCTCTCTCTCTCTCTGCCTACCTCTCTGCCTACTTGTGATCTCTGTCTGTCAAATAAATAAAAAAAAAAAAATCTTAAAAAAAAAAGAGTAGAACGAGGAGGCAAGTTATAGCATATTGATTGTACAGTAGAATATTACATAGCTACAAAGATGTGCTAGGTATAGCTACATGGATAAATCTGCAAGCATAACATTATAAAATAGGAAGTAGAAGTGTACACAGCATCCTTCCACTTACATAACAATTCAGAAACAGGTACACTAAATTACAGCAATTGAAGTCAAGATAGTGGAGAGGGAAGGGATAGTGCCTGGGAGGGGACACCAGAGACTTTCTGAGAATATTGTTCGGGTTCTTCACCCGAATACCAATTACTTTCTAATTCATTGAACTATGTTTTGTGTACTTTTCTGTATGTTATCCTTCACAGTAAAAAGGTTATGTGTGATACAAAGGCCAAGGGTTTAGCATGATTCATAACACCAATTTTAAAAGATATATCCGACTCAAATCGAGGACCTTAGGCCGTTAAAAAATGCAGACCCAAGACAAAGCATGAGGCGGAGAAATAAAAAATCAAGGGAGATGAATTTCTTCTAATAATAGGTGTGGTTTGGGGGCGCCTGGGTGGCTCAGTGGGTTAAGCCTCTGCCTTCGGCTCAGGTCATGATCCCAGGGTCCTGAGATGGAGCCCACATCAAGCTCCCTGCTCAGCGGGGGGACTGCTTCCCTCTCCCCCTCTGCCTTCCTCTCTGCCTATTTGTGATCTCTCTCTCTCTCTCTGTCAAATAATAAAATCTTTAAAAAAAAAGAAAAGAAAAGAAAATGTTAGGTACAATTTGATAAAATATCTGAAATATAATGGTTGAACCTACAGTAGAACTGAACAAAATGAGCTCTGAATTCCAGTATTTACTGCTGGTAGTGTGGGTGTAAGGAGCCAGGCAGTGGGGGTAAAGAAAAAAAAAGGGGGGGGCAGGTGGACGGTAGGAAGAATTAAAATGATGAAGGGGCCAGGAAATAGAATGAGTATATATACCATAGAATGGTGTTTTCTCCCCTTGTTTTTTTCACTCCAAGGGATGAAGGAAAGAAGAGGGAGGTGTTATCTTATGGCTCTCTTGGGAAGATTATATCTTGTGTCCTACCATTTCACATTCCTGACTTAACCGCTAAAAGGCACTAGGGCAGTGTTGGGCAGTGGACAGAGTGGCTGCGGGGTAACTGATTCTGAGGTTCAAAAAGGAGAAATTACTGGATTTGTTCTTTCCCTCTAGCTCTTCTGCCAACCCCTGTGTCTACTCCATCATCGGCATTATCATCACTAGCACTTACTTAGTGCCACACTCTGTTACAAGGGTTTCCAGATGGGAAACCAATTACACAAAGGTTGAGCGATTGCCTAAGGACACATAGCTATTAAGTGTCTTGTTCCTGATTTTAGGAGGAAAGCAGTTTTTCATTAAGTACGATGTTAGCTCTACATATTTATTGCTGCCCTTTACCAGGTTAAGTTCCTTTACATTCCTGGTTTGCTGACAGTTTTTATCAGGATGAGACATTGGATTTGAACAAGTGCTTTTTCTGCATGTATTGAGATGATCATATAGTTTTTCTTTTTCAGTCTGTTAATATGGTGAATTATGTTAAATTTTTAATGTTATGTTAAGCCATCATTAGGTCACGACATATTAGCCTTTAACGTATTGTTGGATTCCATTTGTTAACATTTTGTTAAGTTTTGCGTCAAGGCGCCTGGGTGGCTCAGTGGGTTAAAGCCTCTGCCTTCAGCTCAGGTCATGATCCCGGGGTCCTGGGATCAAGCTCCACACTGGGGCTCTCTGCTCGGCAGGGAGCCTGCTTCCTTCTCTCTCTGCCTACTTGTGATCTGTCTGTCAAACAAATTTAAAAAAAAATCTTGAGAAAAAAAAAAGTTTTGCATCTATTTTCCTGAGTGATACACGTCTGTAGTTTTCTTGTGCATCTCTGCCCTTTCTCTGCAAACTGCATGAAGTTGTCCTTCAGCTCGTGATGTTTTGGGTGATTTGGGGTTGTTTTTTTTTTTTTTGTCTAGCCTTTTTTTTCCTCTCTCTGTTTCATATTGGATCCTTTCTGTTGATAAGTCTTCAAATATACTAATCTTTTGTTCTATAATGGTAAGTCAGCTATTAATTTCATCCAGTGTATTTTTCATCTCAAATATTGTATTTTTTCATCTTCAGAAATGGATTTGGGTCTTTTTAAATATTTTCCACATCTCCATGTAGTGTGCTCAATCTTTACTTACTTTTTTGAAAATATGGAGTATAGTTATAACAATTATTTCAATGTTCTTGTCTACTAGTTCTAGTATATCTGTCATTTATAGGGTCTATTTCTTTTTGATTATTTTCTCTCCTCATTATGAGTTGAGTCATACTTTCTGTTTGCATGGCTGTTATTTTTTTTTTTTAAGATTTTATTTATTTATTTGACAGACAGAGATCACAAGTAGGTAGAGAGGCAGGCAGAGAGAGGGGGAAGCAGAATCCCTGCTAAGCAGAGAGCGCAGATGCGGGGCTCGATCCCAGGCCGCTGGGATCATGACCCGGGCCGAAGGCAGAGGCTTAACCCACTGAGCCACCCAGGCGCCCCTAGAGTGTAACTTTATAGTGTGTGTTACTTTTATTGGTCTTCTCTTGGCATTAGATTTATTGAAGTGGTTTGAAATTTTGTTTTGCAAACTTAATTTTTATAGTTTTCTTCCCTACCCTTTGTTATCACCCTTGCTGCTTAACCATTTTACGATTGTCTCCAACCCAATTCCTAGATGCCTCCTAGTTAAGGACAGGTATTATAATGACATTTCTTCGTCTTCTTCTTCTTTTTTTTTTTTTTAAGATTTTATTTATTTATTTGACAGAGAGAAAGAGATCACAAATAGACAGAGGCAGGCAGAGGCGGAGGGGGAAAGCAAGCCCTGCTGAGCAGAGAGCCTGATGCAGAGCTTGATCCCAGGATCCTGAGATCATGACCTGAGCCGAAGGCAGAGGCTTAACCCACTGAGCCACCCAGACACCTCTTATAATGACATCCATATTGATATTGTCCTAACCCAGCGCCTGGATTCAAATTATGAACCTCGGTCTGGCTCTTGTTTTGAATGGACAACCTATAAAGTCCTCTTACTATGGGAAGGCTTACTTGCCACTGCCTGCTGCCAGACTTGGGACCTATCAAACCCTGGCATCAGCCTTACTCATTCCTTTATATTTATTTCCCTTTTTTAGAACCGTAAAGATTGTCTTTGAACCCGCTTTGTCTCTTTTTCTCCTACCATTTTATTATTAAAATTTTTAAACATACAGAAAACTTGAAAAAATTATACCATGAATATATATATATGCCCATCACTTAGGTTCTACAATCAGTATTTTAGTATAGAGTCTTTATTTCATATTTGTCCATCTTATTTCTTGATCACTTCAGAGTAAATTGTTACTCTTCCCATAAACACTAAAGCATTGCATATTATTAGCTGGAGCTCAACGTCTGGGTGTTTTGTTTTGTTTTGTTTTGTTTGGGGGGAGGGAGTAGGAAAGGGAGAGAGGGGCAGAGGGAAAGGGAAAGAGAGCCCGATGTGGAGCTCGATCTCACGACCCTGAGATCATGACCTGAGCCAAAACCAAGAGTCAGATGCTTAACCGACTGAACCACCTAGGTGTCCCTCAACATTTTTGTTTATAGTTCCTTTTTTTTCTTTCGAAGTAATATTTATACACAATGAAATATACAAGTCTTCAGTGTTATTAAATGCATCATCTATACTCAAACCTCTTCGCAAGGTATGCAACATGACCATCACCAGAGAAAGTTTCCTCATGCCATTTCCTGGTCAGTCCATACCCCTTCCCCCCGCCTCAGATGCAACCATTGCTCTGTTTTTTATTTCTACTATGAATTAGTTTTGCCTGCTCTCAAATTCTATATTACAGAATCATAGAGCGTGTACTCCTTTGTGTAAGACTTCTTTTGCTCAGGATGTTGTTTTTGAGATTTGTCCATGTGGCTCTAGCAATAATTTATTCCTTTTCATTGCTGAGTACTACTGTTCCTTTGTTTCAACACACCATGGTTTGTTTGCTCATTTCAGTGGGGTCTTTTTGATTTCTATGTTTATTTTTTATCCACCACTGCTAAGTGTCTGGAGAGAAGAGAGTGCATCAGAGTATGAATGCCATCCTATTAATTTTAAATTACTTTTTTCTTAATTGAGTGAACTAAGCTGCTTTCTGACTTGATAACGAATTGAGTTGGGTCCGTTTCATTTTCCTTTTCATCTGTTCAGTGTGCATTTTCATAGCTTTACCTGAAATTTAAAAGTAGAAAACATGTTATGTAAATGAAGTGCTATATTTGGTGTTCAAATAAAAATTCTCCTGGCCCATAAATAATATCAGATAGTCTACATGTTAAATATGAATTTGCTTTTATATCATGTAAAAAGTTCACTAACTCTTATCATGTTTTTGCTGTCATATTAAGTATAATTAATCTCTAATGACTGTACTACTTTGTTATCACCAACAATATTAAAATAGAACTCTTTGTTTCAGGAGTATGTCAGTTCAGCCAGCTGAACAATATATTGTATGGGGCCTCTCATCTGTCACTTCTAGATTAATTCTGTAATATAATGTAAACTGAATAAGTTAATCTCTTTTTGTGGTACTTGTGTTAAAAGGAATAATTAATGAAGCCCAACATACTTCACATATAACAAAGTTTCAACATTTGCTAGAATTATGTATTATTTTATTTTTATTTTTCTTCAGGTTTGGTTGGGATGTTCCAGTAATTTTGAGAAATTCAGAAGAGACCCAGTTCAACACAAGAGTTTTCAAAAAGCAAATGAGACAAGTCAAGAATCCTTTTGGCTTAGAGATCACCAATCCATCTACAGCTTCAATTACAAGTTGGTGGCTATTTTCCAAAGATCTTTTTCTTTCTATGCCCCTTTCTTAGCATTTTTCTTTCTACATTGCTTTTTCTTCATTAGACTCAACAAGTATTTATTGAGCACCTATTTTATTCTGGGCACTGTACAACATAGTACTTTGTACTATAGTTACAAAGATTAATAATTCACCGAACTTGCTCCTCGGGAACTTAATCAACTAGCAAACAGAGGCATTCGTGTGAGAAGAATCAAGTATCTTAACTGTTAATGAGAATAGTTTGTTAGGACACTGCCATTTTCATGGTCTTGAGTGCAGTGAAAAAGGTATGGATTATATAGCATAAACAGTTACTGTAAGGGTGCTAACCTCCAGAACAAGTGTTTTTAATCTGAAATTGTGGTATTTTGGGTCTAAGTTATTTTAGTATAAGATGTTATTCTGGGAGATGGTAATAATAGATGACAATTGTTTGTTTCTGTGCTTACTTGGGAAAATAAATTGTCTGCAAGACTATCTAGGAACCATTGGAGTGAGGGAAAGAAAGGGAGGGAAGAGGGAAGGAAGGAAGGGAGGGAGGGAAGGAAGAAATGATTAAGTTCGGACATATTCAGGAAAAGCCTCATTAAAGAATGTGCTGATTCTGTCTTATTTATTTATTTATTTATTTATTTTTGAGTAGAGTCTTGAAAGATAAGTAAGTGTTTATCACATGGGGTTGGAAGAAATTCTAGCTAAAGAGAGAAGCATGAACAAAGCACCAGTACAGAAATAGAATAAGACAGTAGAGAAATAATAAGTAGTTTGTTATGGATGAAACACAAGGTGGAGCAGGTAAGAGAGAAGAGTAGGGGAAGACAGGTTCTTCACAGGGGCCCTCCATAGACAGATCCTATTACCAGGATAAAAAATACAGGAGGAGCAGCAGGTTTTGGAAGAAAGGTAATGACTGCAGTTTTGAACTTCTGGACTTAGAAATGCTCTTGTAGCAGGTAAGTAGAGACACAGAGTAGGAAGTTCTAGGTACAGTTCTGTGGCTCTACAAAGATTCTTGGGCTGAGACCGTATCACCCTTTATACTTGGTCAGATTTCTGGAATCTTAAAAACACCCCAAACTTTCTCAGCGTTTTATCATATTGTACCTACTGCCTTCTTCCTCTTCCCTTCACAGTCAAGCTTCTCTAAAGCAGGTTGCATTTGCCTTCTTCCCTTAGCCTGCTTTACTTTCACTCCTCACATCAGTGCAGTCTGGTTTTTGCCTATGAATCTCTGCTGAACTGGCTTTCCCTGAGATCACCGATCCCCACTTCTGTCCCCCTACCCTGACCCTCAGGCATTGTAGGCCCGAGTTAACACTATTTCTGCAGAGTTTAATAGAGTTGACCAACCCTTCCTTCTTGACAGCCTGCTCCCCTGGCTTCTGTGACTCTTCTTGTTTAGTCATCTTTCTGTCTCTAACTTCCAGAATCACATCAAAAATCAGTGTATTGGGTGACTCAGTTGGTTAAGCATCTGACTCTTGATTTTGGCTCAGGTCATGATCTCAGGGTTGTGAGGTCGATCCCTGAGTCACTCCATGCTCAGCTGGGAGTCTGCTAGAGAGTCTTTCCTTCTCTCTTTCCCTCTGCCCTCCCCCGCTCACGTGCGCTCTATAAATACATACATACACACATGCATACATAAAGTCTTTAAAAACATCAGTGTGCTTACTCAATAGGACTTATCAATCTTAATACTGATTCATAATGAAGTAGTACAAAATTTCTTATTCTTCTTTAGCTATAAATACTATATTATTACCCTATGAATTGAAGAGAACTAAGGACCTCTTTTTTTCCCCTCTAATGATAGATAAGGGGTTTGTTCTGACATTTTTCACTCGGGAAGACCAAATTTCAAGATCTGACGAGAAAATTATCCTATTTAGAAAACATGCCTAATTAAAATGTAGAGAACAGTGGTAGTTTGGTGACCTCTGACCTCTGTGGTCAGGCTCTTGCACCTGCTGCCATGTCACACTGGGCTCTTGAATAGGACTGCCCATACAAAAAGTTGCCAATACAAAGCTGTCCTTTCTGCTACATAGTTCCACAAGCTGGGAAATGCTGAAAAAGTAAGAACTGATAAATTATAAGCCAACAAACACAGGATACTTGTGAGGTAGAAATTGGGAGGAAATCTGCCAATCTTCTTTTCAGGCAGAAATAGTATCAAAAAGAACCTCCCCTGCCCCTCTATAAATGGTAGAAACAAATGAAAAGATATCTAGTCAGTAGAAGACCTCTCTCAGCTGTACACAAAATTTTTTTTTATTTATCTTTATTTTTTTTTTAAAGATTTTATTTATTCATTTGACAGAGAGAGATCACAAGTAGGCAGAGAGAGAGAGAGAGATGGAAGCAGGCTCCCCGCTGAGCAGAGAGCCTGATGCGGGACTCAATCCCGGGACCCTGAGATCATGACCTGAGCCGAAGGCAGCGGCTTAACCCACTGAGCCACCCAGGCGCCCACAAAAATTTTTTTTAAATGTGTGGATTTATAGCATGCTTATTGAAGTATTTTAATTTTTAAAATACTGGTGCTGGGGTGCCTTGGGTGGCTCAGTCAGTTAGGCATCTGCTTTCAGTTCAGGTCATGATCTCGAGGTCACGGGATCAAGCCCCGTTTTGGGCTCCCTGCTCAGCGGCGAGTCTACTCCCTCTCCCACTGCCCTCCCCCCCAACCTTGTGTTCTCTCTCTCTCTCTCTCAAATAAATAAAATCTTTTAAAAAATAAAATGACCAGTGCCTATCATTAATTATATGTCTTCTTTGGGTAAATAAGGAGAAGGAATTTGTTGGGAATTATGTTTCGCAGGATAAAATTCATTTGTTTAAACTGTGGAACAGAGGATATCATTAAAGATGTCTAACCAGGCCATTAAAATAATGTTCTGAGCAATAGTTGTGACATTTTAAAAGGTTATTTCATTTGGTGTGCAGATAGTTTAAAAATCCAGGTCTTTTTTCACCACTGTTCCCAAGGTGCTTGGTATGTAGGGAGGGAAGGGGAATATCTGGAGATCTGATTTACTTGAAAATGAACAAGAGAATCAGTTTTAATCTTAGTCCTCTGGTTCTTTTTAGCATGGGTGCTTGTTGGGATTTCTTTTGTTGTTATGTGATGATACTGGATTTGGATTTATGGTATTTCCATGTCCCCAGTGTAAGAAGCTCTAATGAAATTGAAAGGAGGTATTCAGGGTTTGCTAGCTGAGTTTAATTCTTTTGGGTCAGAAATTCTCTTGTCCCTTTGTGACAGCTTCCTCATATTTTGGCTCATTCACCCTGGTGAGACCTAACAAAGGTGAAAGGGTTAGACAAAATGACACACATAACATTTTCAGAGGAGTTTGTGAACCTCTATTCTCTACGACGTAAAACTTTCATCTCCCAATACTCCAGATTTATTATCCTCATGCATGATCACCTGTACTCTAGTTCTTTCTCAGGGATTCTCCTCCAGAAAGTCTGTGGCTTTTCTGCTCTGTTGTTTCTTCTTTTTTTAATGCCTCAACTCATTGACTCTCGTCCTTGTTTTTTGCAGTTTTTTGCAAGGTTGTCTCATATGCAGGGCTCCATTTGCCCGTTCCAACTAGGCATGTAAGGGCAGGTTGAGGGAAATCATCCCCGTGCTGCTTCAGTTAGCTTCGATTCTGACTTTTCTGGTTTAAGGCTGTGTTCCAAGTCTGCTGTTGCTGTCGATCTGAGACGGCATTGTGTTTGCACTGAATCTTAGAAGACTGAGAAAATGTAGGAATGAGAACTGTCCGCAGAAGAAGTGGGAAAAACAAAAGGGAGAACAGTTTTGCCTGGGGGATTTGAACTGTCATCAGTTAGTGTTAATCAGTACATTCTCTTTTCAGTCTATGTCATGGACAAGTGTAGGAGAGATTGTGGAGAGCAGAATTTACAGATTGTATTCTCCCTTCTCATTAACTTCTTAATTTCAGAGGCATACATGTTGAAGTCTGATTAGTATCCAGTTGTCAGTAGTCTCTGGCGCTCTCCCCACTTTAGTCACACATATGCAGTCTGTAAATAAGCCTTTTATGCAGCTCTGAATCTCTAGAACTCTGATGCTTATTACAGAGCAAATAAACTGGGTAGTTTTACATGTTTTAGGCCTTATCCTTCCATGGTTGTTTTTTAGTGTAAACAATCACATAGATATGGATATCCCCTCCTATGAGATAAACAGAAATATGCTATGTACTTGCCTCCATCTTGCTTTTTTCATTTGTGTTTATTCTGAAGATCATCCCACTGTAGTATATGCAGGTATTTTACCATGCCTCAGTTCTTTTTTAAGAGCTCCATAATGCTTCATTATAGAATGTTCTACATTTTATTCATTTAATCCCCTATCATTGGACACTTGGGTGCATCCTGGCATTTTGATATAACTAGAGCTCCATGCATAACATCTTCTCACATTTACACATTTCTGCCAAAAATATTAAGAAATCATTTTCTGGGTTCCTTTCTTTCTTTTTCCACTTCTTTACTTTTCTTTTTTTTTAAGACTTTATTTATTTATTTGACAGAGACAGGGAGATCACAAGTAGGCAGAGAGGCAGATAGAGAGGGGGAAGCAGGTTCCCCGCTGAGCAGAGAGCCCGATGTGGGGCTTGATCCCAGGACCCCGTGATCATGACCCGAGCTGAAGGCAGAGGCTCAACCCACTGAGCCACCTGGGCACCCCTCCACTTTCTTTTCTATGCTTTTTCTATTTCTCCCTTTCATATCTACTTCAGCTTTTTTTCCTTCCCTCATGTTGCATGGTTCTGTGGTGACATAGAGAAAAGGTATGATTTTTATATGTATATATATGTATGATTTTTAATATGTATACTAATTTTAAATATATGAGCACAGTTATGTAGCATAATATAAATAGTATATATGAACATGACATTAATGTGTTTTGATATTTAATGAATAAATTAATGTAATTATATATTAAATATATATAAATATATTTAAATTTGTGTTGATGGGGTGTTTTTCTTTGGCTATTTAATAGCTAATTAACAAATAATAGCTAATTACATTTCCCATTCTTGAATAATACCTGATGATTAGAGTCATATAAAACTTTGAAATCAAATTCTGTTCCAATTACCTGTGCAGTGTTCCTGCCAGTTAAAAGTTTTGCTTAACTATGATTGGAAATTATCCTATGTCGCTGCTGCTACACATACTCCAGATGTGAAAGTCTACGTGTGTACTAGCAACTACGGGGAAGAAAAATAAAAACTGAATTTTTGGTGTCCTGTAGAGCATCTGCTTGTATTTGTGTGTATCCTTCTAAAACATACTCTTGATCACCTTTTTATTTTATTTTCTTAAGGGATGATTTATATATATATTTTAAAAGATTTATTTATTTATTTTACAGAGAGAGAGTGAGCGCAGGGGGTAGTGGCAGAGGGAGGAAGAGAGAGAGAATCACAAGGTGACTCCCCACTGAGTGCAGAGCCCAATTCAGGGCTCCATCCCACAACCCTGAGATCATGACCTGAGCCGAAATCAATAGTCAGACACCCAACTGATTGAACTACCCAGCCACCCCACTGATCACCTTTTTAAAAGTACACAGTGGATCCATCAGAATTCCTATTAGTAAGTAAAAAAAATGACTCCAGTCAAAGGATACTGGGTAGCTTACAGAATTGCTGTTAGGTTTGGAGACCCAGGATCAGAGACTAAGGCTGTTCAGCAAGGAACAATCCCCAGACCACATACTTTTGGTCTTGCAAGTCCGCTGCTGCCACTGAGCACCAGATGCTACAGTTTCCACTGCCAACGGTATAGGATCCTAGATATTGCTGCCCTTGAACTTGATATTGCTGCAACTGCCATGAGCAAGGGGAAAAAAATCATATGGGTGGTAATAGTAAGTCCTATGTGAGTGTTTAATAAATAGGTAAAATAGTCTAATTTGTATGCCCACTTATAATTTATTTTTCCACTTAATCAAGTTTATTCAAATTATAATATGTTTTATTATGCTGAAAGCAAATAAATGAACGAGGACATTGCTACTAAGCCCTACATGTTTTGGAATCCCTACTCTTTCCTTAGGATGTTTGCATATCATGTGGGACATTAACTATGTGACAAGAGTATAAATGTTGTTGGGGCACCTGGGTGGCTCCGTTGGGCGACTTCCTTCGGCTCAGGTCATGATCCTGGGGTCCTGGGATCGAGTCCCGCATCGGGCTCCCTCTCATGCTCTCTCTCACTCTCTCTCTCAAGTAAATAAAATTTTAAAAAGAAAAAGTATAAATGTTGTCAGTGTGCATATTAATATTAGTAAGGCTTGATTTCTTTTTCATATTTTTTCTACTCCAGTGATCATCTGAGGACCCCATGAGTTATGTGTATCCACTTTGAGAGACAGTCCTGCTCTGTTTCTTACAGTTACAAGGTTGTATATTTCCACGTTTGGAGACAGTGCTCCTATTTCTTGTAATTAGGATTATATATGCTGTTAGAATGGTAGGTTATCAATGGTGAACTATATTTCAGTTTTTAAACACTATGTGGGAGAAGGCTCTGAGTCCCAGCCAAAAAATTAACTTCATGATTTCCACGTGTAAATGTACAAATAAGAGTTTACTGATCGTGCTTCAGAATTGTGTATAGATGTTGAGGTTTTTTTGTTACTTGTTTAGGGACCACTTCCTTCATTTACAGGCACGTGCCCTTTAATGAGTTCCTTGAACTGCCATCAGCCGGGCCAGCCATCAAAAGGAAGCTTTTGTCATTTGCTGTGTATAACTGTATGAAAAACTATATTCGGTAATTTTCTTCTCTTTGTCTTCTTTTCTTCTTTGTTTTTGACAGCCGGCATAACTTTGACAACAGACTGCCTTGAAGATAGCCTCTTGACATGCTACTGGGGGTGCAGTGTCCAAAAACTCTATGAAGCTCTGCAGAAGCACTTTTATTGCTTCCGAATAAGCACCCCCCGAGCCCTGGAAGATGCTCTGTATAGTGAATATCTCTATCAAGAGCAGTATTTGTATCCTTTTATCTGATACATCCATTAACCAGTGAAAATCTCAGACATAAGACTTTTTAATGGAGAAAGTATTTGCTGTTATTATTGATCACTTTTTGTGTATTATTGTATTTTGGGTTACAGTGGCAATTTACCTTTACATTTTCAAAAAGTATTAAGAAGGACAGCAAAGAAGAAATATATTGCCAGTTACCAAGAGATACTAAAATTGAAGACTTTGGTACAGTGCCCAGATCTCGCTATCCGTTGGTAGCACTGTTGACCCTAGCTGATGAGGAAGACCGAGAAATTTATGACATTGTAAGTAACTTTAAAATTCTGGAAGCATTCCTTTAAGTGATTTGGATGATGGGTCATAATTATTTGGTGAATAGAAAAAGTTTTATTTTAATTTCTGAGGCTATATGTTTGGCCCAGACACATTTTTCTTGAAGAAGGAATACCTGGGAAGTACAGGTATATGATTTTTATACATGTAACAGCTCCTTCAGAGTATGACTTTGTTAGACATATTATTTATATATATATATATGTTGCAAGAATAGGATATTACTTAGAAAATAAAAGGCACATTATAGTTGAATTAAGTTAATTTTATCATTCTGTATTCTATCATGTTTGCTAGATAGAAAAAAGTCTCTTGGGAAGCATGTTTATTCTTAGCATTTTTAGCACCGAATGAGTAAGCCTTGTAATCATCTGAAGTGCTCAGTTTTAAGACCATCTTCCCTCATTTCTCTACATGGTTGCAAGTCACCTTGTTTCCGTCATCGCCCCTGCTGCACCTACATCTTCTATGTACTCGATCCTTTGTATTTTCAGTAATTATAGTGATCTCCTTTTCTCATTATGTGCTCGTTACTTCTTTAGTCTAGTAGTTTGTCCCTATTAGTAAGATAAAGGCATCTTAGGGATCTAAGAGGACCTGAGCCCTGACATTCCTCTGAGTATGGTAGAAGCTTGTACATGAAATAAACTTTTGGTAAAACCATTTCATGGTAGGAATGCCATCATACCCAATTTACTACTTTTCTGAAATGCATGGTATTGATATGCTCATTAATAAAGATACGGTAACATTTTATGATACTTTTAACATATACAGTACACTGGCTAGCATTAGCTTATTTATTTCTTCCAACAACCTTGTGTGTTAGGGCAAATCCTCTTCTTATAAAGACTGAAATGGGAGTCCGAAGAGAACTCTCAGTCATTCAGGAAGAGATAGGACCAGTAAGCCTCTGCAACCCTGTACCAGTACTTTCAGGAAAAAAAAAAAAAAAAAAAAAAAAAATTTAAAGGAATATCTCCTCAAAACAAATGTACATTTTCTTGCATTTGGAAAGTGCAGACCCTTACTGAGAAATCCGGACCCTGCTTATACACAGTTTGGGGTTTTAATCTTACCAAATTGAAGTTCCAGTGAACTGAAGTCAATTTGGTTTTTCTAAGTAAGTCATACCAAAAGCAGTATATTTCCAGAACCTAACACAGTGCCTGGAACACAGAAGGTGGTCAATAAATGTGATAAGTGAAAACAACAACAACGACAAAAAACAACCCAAAGTCATACCAAGCAATGTTAGTGAGCCTCATAGAGCTTGACAGCAAGTCAGTTACTTGTGCGTGAGGAGCCCATATGAGAGATCTGGTTTCCTTCCCCTCCTCCCCTCTTCCCCTTCACCCTGTTCAGTTGAAGATAGATAAGAACTGTTAGGTTGGTGTTTCATATTTCCAGCTTCTGTTCATTACCCAGCCTACCCCAGCAAGGTAACCCTTCTGTCACCACCATGTCACCCGTGTCTTCTAAGCTCCTTTCTTCCTCTCATTCAAAACAGAAAGGGTCAGATCTGTCACCTTCCTCCCAGCTTCTCCTCTTAGCTTCTTTCCCCCTCATTGAGGGTGATCGCTATCTCTTTGAGGTACTCAGAGTCTTCTTCGTTTTCTAACTTTCTTCCTCAGTCTAAACAGCAGAGTGTGTGTTAAAATATATATAACATAAAATTTACCATTTTAACCACTTTCCAGTGTATAAGTCAATGGCATTACAAACAGGGAAAGATTTGCTTTCAGCCCCCCATCCAACTGGAAAGAAGACGGTGTGGCCTGGCTGAACCTGTGGGAGGCGTAATCCCACAGGGGAGCTGAGGCGGTGGGCCCTCGAGGTTAATAGGCATTTTCTCTTTTCCTTTTGGAGTCTCCTTCTCTGGGTCTTTTCTTCTCATTGGCACATGCCCTCCCTTTTTTCCTGTTAATCTTGCTTTTCCATCTCTTATCACTCAGATTGGGCCTAATATTGGAACTATAACATATTTGTTGGCATAGTTTGTATTAATGTTCTCCTTCTTAATTTTAAAAGCAAACTGAGCATTTGGTTTTTCACTATTTTATCTGGGGATCAGAGTCTAAATCTAAAGAAAAAAAAATTAAGCTCTACCATTCCCGTTGTAGCAGTAAAAATTATGTTTTGATAGTGTAGTCAGTTTTTTATTTTAGGTAGAAGCAGAGGTTATTATTGCAATATTTTGATTTTGACTTTTTTTTTCATTTTTACTCAATTATATTTTCTCTATTACTCAAATAATAATATGTTTGTGGCAGGAAATAGAATTAGAAAATCTGGATAAGCCAAAAGGAAAAAAGCATAATCACCTCTATTCTTTCATCCAAAGTTAACCACTGTCAATATTTGCATCTTTACAGACCTTTATAATATGTAAGTTTTTAAACAAAAACAGGGTAAAGTATATGTACTATTTTGTGACCTGTTTTCATTTAGTGTATTTTGAGCATCTTTTCCATATCAAATATGAATACCTGGGAAGTACAGGTGTATGATTTTTATACATGTAACAGCTCCTTCAGGGTACGACTTTGTTAGACATACTATTTATATATATATAAATATACACATATTTATATATATATGTTGAGATATATACAGCTACATATATATTTATAACTAGCATGATAGTAGCTTCTGAAGCTTTTAATAGTAAATCGAATGGCAGGATTGTTTGTGTGAGGTGATGATATTACTGTCTTCTACCAGTCCTGTCATTTTGGTTCAACATTTACAACTTCTGAAGCCATTGCCAAATTATTAAATCTTTATAAAGCTGTAAAGAATATTATATGTTTACAACCATAGTAGGATTCTTTCTTTAAACTTTTCATTTGGACATAATTTTAGGAACTTGCAAAAATAGAAAACTGGAAGAACACCCCTATACCTTTTACCCCAATCTCCTGTTGTTCATTGTTGACATTTTCCAGATTGGCACTATTATTTGCCCATATGTGTGTGTGTATTTTTTTAAATGAATCAAGAATAAGTTGTATGCCTGATTCTTGATCCCTAAATACCTTAGTTTGTATTTCCTAATAATAGGAAATGTTCTCTTATATAAACACAATATAGTTATCAACTTTATAAATCTAACATTGATAAAATATTTTATCCAATCTATGACCTGTATTCCAATATGTCAGTGAATGTATCAGTGTTCTTTACAGCATGTTTCCTCCTCCAGTACAGGTTCTAGTCTAGAGTCAGATAGTCTATTTGTCATGTATCTTTAGCCTCCTTTAATCTAGAACATTTTCACAGCCTGTTTGTCTTTTACGATATTAGCATTTTTTAAGAATACAAGTCATGTACACCCTTTTTATAAAATAGGACAGTTCCCATTTTGTTTGTCTGATATTTCATCATGATCGGATCAGAGTTGTGTGTTTTTAGCCAGTCTACTTAGCATGGGTGATGATGCGGGCTTTTCAGGGCACCACCTTTGGAGGCATGTGCAGTTCTTTCCTCTCATTGGTGATGTTAATTTTTATCTCTCTGCAAGGGGTTGTCTCATTTCTCCTCTGCTGTATTTTTCCCCCTCCCTTGCAGATGATAAGCAGTTCGGAGAGGACACGTTTAAGACCACACAAAATCCCAGTCTTTATGAAAATTTCCCCCCTGGATTTAATATCCTTTGATAATTCTTTTTTTTTAAAGATCTTATGTATTTATTTGACAGAGAGAGCAAGTAGGCAGAGAGGCAGGCAGAGGGGGAGAGAGAAGCAGGCTCCCCAGTAAGCAGAGAGCCCGATGCTGCTCTTGAGCCCAGGACCCCAAGATCCGGACCTGAGCCAAAGGCAGAGACTTAACCCACTGAGCCACCCAGGTGCCCCTATCCATTGATAATTCTTAACAGATTTTATCTTTACCATGATGGTTGCAAAATGATCATTTTCCAATTCCAGCTCTCCATTTAGCCCTCAGTATTGTACTATAAGCAAGTACAAGTATTGTACTATAAGCAGTATTGTACTATACTATAGTACAGTATCATAGTATAACCATTTATTTATTTATTGTCCATATGTCCTCATGAATTTCTTTTTTCCCCCAGTGATTTATAACTCGTAACTGAATTTAATTATTTTGATGCTCAACTGCCCTCTCCTTTATTTTCTGCCCAAGGATTTATAATCAAATTCTGTGTCCATAAATTACTTAGATTAGTTCTCCTGTAAGTGAAAAAACCATATAAAGAGGAAATGTACTCAGATGTTGCTCTCATCCCTTCCCACAATGCCTTCTTTTTTTTTTTTTTTTTAAACACTTTTACCTTTAAATAATCTCCACACCAACAAGGGGGTCAAGCTCACAACCCTGAGATCAAGAGTTGCATCTCTACCCAGGCCAGGTGCTCCCCATTCTTATATATCCCAATTCTTGTAGATAACCAAGTTCATTGTTTTCTGGTTTATTCTTCCTGTTTCTTATTGTAATGATGAGAAAATACAGATATGTATATTTTTTATTTTCTTTCTTACTCAAAAGATATCACACTTTTTATACTATACATGTTCTGGGGTTGTTGTTGTTGTTTTTTTTTCCACTTCATAATATCTCTGGAAATCAGTTCAGATGAGTTCATAGAGCTCTTCCCCACATTGTTTTCCCGTGGCTGCGTAGCACTCAATGGTATGTAGACTGTATCGATAGGTACCATAGCTATTTAGCCAATCTCCTGCAGCTGGACATTCAGGTAATTTCCAGTATTCTGCAGTAACAAATAATTTTACACTGAATAACCTGTGCATATGTATTTTTATATTGTTGAAGTTGCATGGTTGAAGGGCAAAGGTATGTCATTTTGATACATATTACCAAATTCCCCTCCATTCGGTTTATATCCTTGGAGTTGTACCTTTTTTTCTTTTTTTATACATTTCCACCAGAAATGTAAGAAAGTGACTATTTCCCCATAGATTATATTGATAAACATTTGCAATCTATTAATCCAATGAGTGGGAAATAATAGCTCAGTGAAGTTGTAATTTGCATTTATCATATTATGAGTGAAATTGAACACCTTTTAATATGGCTGAGGATTGTGTTTATAATTTTGTGTGAATTGTCTGTTCATGTCTTTTGCCCATTTTAATTAATTAATTTATTTTTGAACTCTGTTAGACCAAGAACTCAAGAACTAACTGCTATTTGAAAGTTTAAATATTCAGACTGTGGGATACTTCCATTTCCAATCATAATTCAGTCATAAAGGCTGGATTTACTCTTTTTTTTTTCTTTAAAGATTTTATTTATTTATTTGACAGACAGAGATCACTAGTAGGCAGAGAGGCAGGCAGAGAGAGAGGGGGAAGCAGGCTCCCCGCTGAGCAGGGATCCCAATGTGGGGCTCGATCCCAGGACCCTGGGATCATGACCTGAGCCAAAGACAGAGGTTTTAACCCACTGAGCCACCCAGGCGCCTCTTTGCCCATTTTTAAATAGGATTTTTGGTTACTTTTTTTCAATATTTAAAAGTTTTTCATAAATTATGGATATTGTGAATATTTTATTCCATTTCATCAAATGTCTTTTGACTTTCCCTATGGGGCTTTTTGTCATACAAGCTTTAAATTTTGACACAGTCAAATAAATGCATCTGCCTCTGGATTTCAGTCATTGTTAGAAAGTCTTTCCCTGGGGGCGTCTTGGTGGCTCAGTTGGTTAAAGCTTCTACCTTCGGCTCAGGTCATGGTCCCAGGGTCCTGGGATAGAGCCCCATATCAGGCTCTCTGCTCAAGGGGAAGCCTGCTTCCCTTCCTCTCTCTTTGCCTGCCTCTCTGCCTACTTGTGATCTCTGTCAAATAAATAAATAAAATCTTAAAAAAAAAAAAAAAAACACAAAACAACAACCAAAAAAAAAAAAAAAAAGAAAAGAAAATCTTTCCCTGGGGTGCCTGGGTGGTTAGTGGGTTGGGCCTCTGCCTTTGGCTCAGGTCATGATCTCATGGTCCTGGGATCGACCCTCGCATCAGGCTCTCTGCTCAGGGGGGAGCCTGCTTCTCCTCTCTCTCTGCCTACCTCTCTGCCTACTTGTGATCTCTCTCTCTCTCTCTGTCAAATAAATAAATAAAATCTTAAAAAAAAAAAAAGTCTTTCCCTACACTGAGAGTAAAAAGGAATTCACATGTTTTCTTCTAGTGCTTGCATAGTTTTATTTTTTATAATTAGGCTTCTTAAGCTTTTGGAGTTTATTCTTCCATATGATCTGAGGAATGCATCTAATTTTATATTTTTCCAAATAGCTATCCAGTCCCAGTACTTTTTATAAAAAGACTGTTTGCCCAGTGATTTTAGATGGCAACTTTGTCATATTTGTATAGATAGTTGGGTCTGTTTCTGGACTGTTTGTTCTGGTCTAGCCACCTGTCTGTTCATGTGCCTGTACTATTTTAATTTTAGAGGCTTTGTACTATGTCTTAATATCTGACTGGGCTTGATCTTCCCCACAGCTTTGTTCCAGTATTTGCCTAGCTAATCTTATGTGTTCTTTTTCCTCATGAGAATCTTAGAGTCAACTCATATAACTCTATGAAAAAACTCATTGTTATTTTTGTTGGGATTGCATTAAATTTGTAACTTTGAGTATAATTTAAAATAACTCTGGCAAAAATGTGTTCCATAACTGGTTCCACTTTAGTGACTATTATTTAAATCAATTATTGTGGGGCGCCTGGGTGGCTCAATGGGTTAAAGCCTCTGCCTTCAGCTCAGGTCATGATCTCAGGGTCCTGGGATCGAGCCCTGCATCGGACTCTCTGCTCAGCCGGGAGCCTGCTTCCTCCTCTCTCTCCCTCTGCCTGCTTCTCTGCCTACTTGTGATCTCTGTCAAATAAATAAATTAAATCTTTAAAAAAAATAAAATAAAATCTTTTTTTTTAATTAATTTATTTATTTGACAGAGAGAGATCACAAGTGGGCAGAAAGGCAGGCGGGGGGGGGGGGGGAAGCAGGCTCACCGCTGAGCAGAGAGCCCAATGTGGGGCTCGATCCCAGGACCCTGGGATCATGGCCTGAGCTAAAGGCAGAGGCCTTAATCCACTGAGCCACCCAGGTGCCCCAAAATAAAATCTTTTTTTAAAAAAAAATCAATTATTGTAAGTTTTCTAATTTATCAACCTTTTACTTTTTAAAAATTTTTGTTAAATTTTAACTTTTTTAAAGATTTTATTTATTTATTTGACAGATAGAGATCACAAATAGGCAGAGAGGCAGGCAGAGAGAGAGAGAGGAGGAAGCAGGCTTCTAGCTAAGCAGAGAGCCCGATGCAGTGCTCGATCCCAGGACCCTGGGATCAGGACCTGAGCCGAAGGCAGAGGCTTTAACCCATTGAGCCACCCAGGCGCCCCATCTTTTACTTTTCTTTTACATACCTGTGAAATAATGTAAGGAGGTTAAGTACTGACTAGTGTTTAATTTTTATTTTAGATTTCCATGGTGTCAGTAATTCATATTCCTGATAAAACGTATAAACTTTCGTGTAGAATATTGTATCAATATTTACTCCTGGCTCAAGGTCAATTTCATGATCTTAAGGTAAGTACCCTGTTATCTTATCTCTGTCCCTTTTATCTGGAGAGTTTCAAACAATGACCAGTATAAAGAGATAAAATTTTTCAGTTATCACAGAAACTAGCTGTTATTTGCTATTGGGTTTGCTAGCTCACAAATTTTTAGCAGTTTTTATGACTCCCAGATTTAAAGAGTAATTGTTTAGGTGCCTGGGTGGCTTAGTCATTTGGGCGTCTGACTGTTGATTTCTGCTCAGATGGTGATCTTGGGGTCATGGGATCAGTCCACATCAGGCTCTGCGCTCAGTACAGAGTCTGCTTCCCTCCCCTCTTTCAAATAAGTAAATCAAATCTTTAAAAAAAAAAAAAAAGGAGTAATTGTCATTTGTGATTATCCTTAACCTTGTGTTTTTGATTTTCAGCAACTCTTCATGTCTGCAAATAATAATTCCACTCCCTCCAGCAATTCATCTCCAGAAGAAAAAAGCAGAGAGCGCAGTTTGCTGGAAAAGGCCGGGCTGTCCGAGAGCGAGGCGGAGCCTCCAGAGGAGAACATCAAGGACTGTGTGGTTTGCCAGAATGGAACTGTGAACTGGGTGCTGCTGCCCTGTCGGCACGCGTGTTTGTGTGACGGCTGTGTTCGCTATTTCCAGCAGTGCCCCATGTGCAGGCAGTTCGTTCAGGAGTCTTTTACACTTTGTAGTCAAAAGGAGCCAGAGAAAGACAAACTGAAAGCTCTTTGAGAGTGTTGTTACGACTGAAAAGTATACTTTCCACTGAAGATGGAGAAATTTGTGTTTTGGAATTGATCATAACATGGAATCTACAGCGTTGACCATCAGTGAAAATTCTATTTTAACTTCACCTTTGTATGGTACATGGATGATGACATGAATTCCTTCCTGTCCCATATGCTAAATACTGGAATACCATCTGTGTTAATACATAAAAAATGCATTCAGCTCTTGGGAAGAATGTAAATGTTTGGCCTTTTATCAGCTAGCGGAGTTCACATGATGCTGATTAGGAAAAATCCTGAAAAGCAGTCCATCTAAAATCTGAGGAGGTAAAAGTCAAGATCTCTGGATGTTTTTGCCTTTGACATCATCTGGATTGCAATTGGGAAAAAACTGAATTCTCCCTAAAGGAATTGTATGTTCCCCAGTTTCTAAAGGAGTTGGAAAGTGCTTCTAACTCTAAATCTTTTCCTAAAATAACAGTTTTTATAAAGATCCATCTAATTTTCCTTATAGTCACATAAAAACAAGTCTTAATTTTAATATAGCATCTTAAATCATAAATGTGAGACGCAATTCTTGTCTGTTCTCAGTGTACCATAGATTAAAATGATACTCATCTATAGGAAGCAGATATATAAAACTTGGATAATAAAATGTCTTGGATAATTAAATTTATTGTCAAGTATGATTAGCTTAGCAGAATGTGACCTATCAGGGAAGAACTGTGAAACTTGTAATGCCTTACTTTAGATTTCCTCCTGTGTAGCAAATCCTTCTAAAACCAAAAAAGTTTTAGAGCCAGAAAAGCTGTTAAGAGAAACAACTATTTTTTTCTACTCTATTTTTATTCCAAATAAACCCATATCCTCCAGAGTAGTAACCTGATAGGCAAAAAGCCCCATCCCTCCTGCTTTCTAAGATGACAAAGAAGAAAAAGGTAAATCAGAGCTTTTCTGTGTCTTCAGGGGAAATTACCTTCCATTGACCAAGAAATTAGATCATGGCAAATAAACTGAACTTCAGGGAAATTTTCAAGACTTCTTTGTCCTGTTTGTATTAAGAGTAATGCCTTATCTTTGTATCAGTGTTTCTACGTAGTGTCATTTTATTCTAATCAAATATAACACTGAAAAAGACATTACCTATTTTCCATTTTATAAACCAAATCAAACTTTCATCTCTGCTCAATAGCTATGTATTAAATACCTCCTAGGGGTCAGATCCCTTTTGGCAATCTGGGCTACAGAGAATCGGGCAAGACTTCTGGCCTCAAAGGAGCACCAGCAGCATTTTAGAAACATGTCCCCACCTTGGAAGTCCCAGGGCCTCTGCTCCAACCCTGCCACTGGAAGCAGGGGTCGGGGAAAGCTACAGTTAGCTCATACCAGCTCATCTGGGAAACTCACTCTGTGCTGTAAATTGGGGGAATCCTCAAAGATCACTTTGTCCATCTCAGCCATCCTGCTTCTCTTTACGGATCCGTTCGTACTGAAACGGTCTGAGCCATGTGGTTGCTTTCTCATCTGGGATAGATTTCCACCTGCAATCTTCCTCCATTCTTCATAACTGTTTAATTGTAGTAAGATATACATACCAGAAAACTTACCATTTTAACTATTTTTTAAGTGTACAGTTCAGGAACATTACATACGTTCACATGGTTGTGTGCCTATCATCAGTAACCATCTTCAGAATGTTTTATCACCCTAAACTGAAACTATATCCATTTAAACGCTGACTCCCCATTCTCCCTCTTTTCAGCTCCTGGTAACCACCCTTCTACTTTCTGTCTTTATTAATTTGACTATTCTAGGTATTTCATATACCTGGAATCACGTAATATTAGTCCTTTGGGGTCTGACTTATTTCACTGGGTACAATGTCTTCAAGGTTCATCCGTGCTGTGGCAGGAGTCAGAATTCCTTCACTTTAAAAGCTAATATTCGGGCGCCTGGGTGGCTCAGTGGGTTGAGCCGCTGCCTTCGGCTCAGGTCATGATCTCAGGGTCCTGGGATCGAGTCCTGCGTCGGGTTCTCTGCTTGGCAGAGATCCTGCTTCCCTCTCTCTCTCTCTGCCTGCCTCTCCATCTACTTGTGATCTCTCTCTGTCAAATAAATAAATAAAATCTTTAAAAAAATAAATAATTAAAATAAAAGCTAATATTCCATGGTATGGAATTTGTTTCTCTATTCGCCCATCATTTTTTATAACTCTTAAAGATGATTTGCCGTTAGCCTCTCTTACTATGACTAAAGTAATTGATCTTCCTGCCCTTTCTGGTAATACATACGAGGAATTTGGTAGGTAATCAAGTAGAAACAAGTACACTGACTCCTAGAGGCTTATGTCAGAATCTTCCAATAGCAGTGAACAAGTGATGTTTTGTGAGAACATCTACAAAAGCATTTTATTTGAATGGGTTATTAGAGAAAATATTTGGTTGATACAGATTAGTTGCTACTTTCCAAAAATCCCACCCAGGGCTACATTAAGCAGACCTGACAGGTGATTGGCCACCTTCTCCTTCAGTGACCCTTTCTTCCCAACTTAGTGCCTATGAGGGCTTTTACTGTCCAAACCAGTTCTAGAGGAGGAACCTAAAAACTCAAGGACTCAACACAAGTCATTGAATGATCTCCCATGGGGCTATTGTATTTTTTAAGGCTTCCCATTTTTGTAGTCTGAAGAGCCTTGTCTTGGTTTGTGGCCATTTGAAGCATCAACATAGATAGTCTGGGTTTATGAAGGGTAGGAGGAGATGATTTCAACCTCCTGTTCTGCCTCAGATGGGCCCTATTGCTGGATAATTCCCTAACGCCATTTCCCAGATTTTGAAATTGCCTCTCTGTATTATATTCCTCCTGAATCTTCATCCTTGTCAGCATGACCTCTAGTTCCCAGGTACCTGAGTTTATTTTAATAATTCATTAACTCGCTCCTGGGTTCCCTGCTCACTATTTCAAATGTGTTTTTTTTTTCTTTTCAAATTTTTATTTAAATTCTAGTTAGTTAACATATTGTGTAATATTGATTTCAGGAGTAGAATTTAGTGGTTCATTACTTACGTACAACATCCAGTGCTCATCATAGCAAGTGCCCTTCCTAATACTCATCCCCCATATAGCCCATCCCCCTCCCCACTTCCTCCATCAACCCTCAGTTTTCTATTGTTAAGAGCCTCTTATGGTTTGCTTCCTTCTCTTTTTTTTTTCCCCCTTCCCATATGCTCATCTGTCTCATTTCTTAAACTCCACATGTGAGTGAAATCATAGGGTATTTGTCTTTCTCGGACTGACATATCTCACTTAGCATAATGCACTCTAGCTCCATCCACGTCCTTGCAAATGGCAGGAGTTCATTCTTTTTGATGGCTGAGTACTAGTCATATCACCCATATTACATATATATATATATGCCACATCAGTCTATGGGCATTTGGGCTCTTTCCATAGTTTGGCTATTGTTGATAATGTGCTGTAAACATCGATGTGTGTGCCCCTTTGAATCTGTTATTTTTTTATTTTTGGGTAAGCAAATTGTGTTTTTATCTTAGCTTGCTTTCTTGATCTCTCTGCTCTACCTGCCCCATCAACCCACAAACTTGGCTGAACTCACTGTGTTTCTTTACTGCTGTTACCACAGAAGGTCAAGTGAACTAAGCAATTAATGGAGTTTACCACAGAGCCATGTTGTTTAGTTGTGTTCAGGCCTTCAGTGCCGCTCAACAATCCTTTCATTTTTTTTCCTCTTGGACCCCCTATAATTCCCAATAGCTATTGCAAACCTCCTCCACTTTTCTCACGTTCTGTATCCCACCAGTCCTGTATCACTTCCAGCAAAGAAACTTCAAGATGTAGTGTGGTGTGGAGGTTAAGGTGGTAGAGCCTGAAGTCCTATATCTTGGGTTTTTATCCCAGCTCTGCCACTTGGCCCTTGGCCAAGTTACTTACTCACTCCACCTCAGTTTCCTTGTCTGTAGAAATGGTGATAATAGAACCTACCTGTAGCCTCTTGAAAGGATTAGCCCAGTTAATATGTGTAAAGTGCTTAGACCTGGGCAGAGCACAGAGGAAGCCCTATGTGTGCTGCGTACTACTATTACTGCTTTGTTTAGATGTTCATAGCCAGTGGACTTTCTTTTCTCTCTTCCTTAAAAGAGGAGGTGTCTTTTATCTACTTTTGAGACCAGCACTCTACCTGTGTTCTTGATCACATATCTGCTCCCTGAACTCATTTGATTCTTCTTTCAATAATTAAGTAATTACTGAGTTCCAGACATCACACGTTGTTTGGGCATGAGAATACAGCAGTGAAAATAATAGGCAAGACACTTACCTTTGTGGCACTTACATTCTAGTGGAGAGAGAGAGAGAGGCAAATTAGTAAAAGATGTAGCAGTTCAGGTGGAGGGAAGGGCTATGGGAAAATCAAAGCTCAGTTGGGCACACAGGGAATGTGAAGGATGGAAATGGGGTTACTATTTCAAATAGTAGTAATAGAAAGGCCTCACCAGGGGTTTTAGTAGAGACTTGAAGAAGGCCAGGAAGTGAACCACGTGAATGTCTACGCAAAGAGACCTTAACAATTACAAGAATGAAATGGAGCCACTTGGAAAAAGAGCAGGTTTGGAGGAAAAGAGCAATTTTTTTTTTTTTTTTTTTGGTTCGGTTTTGTTTTACTAGTTGGAAACCAAGGAAGAATATCCAATAATCAGGCAAAGATAGTACTCTGAAGTTCAGGGGAGAGGTCCAGCTAAAAATATAAATTTGGAGGTCATCAATGTGGTATGTAAAGCCATGGATCTATGTGAAGTGGCTGAAGGAGTACACCCAGGAACAGAAGTCCACATACTGAGAAGATAATCTAACATTCAGAGAGATTGGAGAGGAACCCGTAGACTAGTAGACAGTGAGGTAGGAAGAAAGCCAGAAGAGTGGTATTTACAAACCATCCCAAAGCAGAGTCGAATAAAGCAAGCACTATCTTATTATGCTCCTAGATTCTGTGGTCAGGTATTGGGGCAGAATATGGTAGGCATGAGCCTGCCTGGGAGTTAGGTTGGGAAAACTCAAGTGTTTGGGAGTGTGACTCAAAGGCCAGAGGGCTAAAATCATCTGACGTCGTCTTTGTTCACATATTTGGTGCCTTAGTTGTGATGACTTGAAAGCGGGGCTGATCTAGGACATGTGGCCTCTCCTTGGGCTTGGGCTTTGTCACAGCCTGGTGGTCTCACGGTAGTCAGATTTCTTTAAAGGGGGCTCAGGATTCCAAGAGCAACTGTTCCTAGTGAACAAGGTAAAAGCTGCATGGCCTTTTTTGTTTTGTCTTTTTCTTTTTTAACAGCTTAATGGAGATAATTTACATGCCTACAGTTTCCCTATTCAAAGTGTGCCGTTCAATAGTTGTAGTATAGTGACTAGTTTTAGTATACTATGGAGTTTTCCAACCACCACTACAATCAATTTCAGAACATTTTCATTACTCCCAAAAAGAAATTTTGTGCACATTAGCATTCATCCTCAATCCCTGCCATCTTGTTCCGACTCTAGGCAACCACTGATTTCCTTCCTGTCTCTATAGATTTGCCTATTCTGGACAGTTCATGGAATGGAATCACATGTAGAATCTCAAGTAGAATTATATAATATGTGACATCACTTGACATAATGTTTTTAAGGTTTATCCATGTTATTGCATGAATGAGCATTTTATTCTTTTTTATTACCAAATAATATTTCATTATATGGATATACTGCATTGTGTTTATCCATTTATCAGTTGGTGGACATTTGGATTTTTCTACTTTTTCGCTATTATGGGTAATGCTGCTGTGAACATTGGTTACAAGTTTTTGTGTGGACATATGTTTTAATTCTTCTTGGGTATACAACAACAAGTGGAAGTCCTATCATCCTATTTTGAACATTTTAAGGAATTTCCCAAATGTTTTTCAAAGTAGTTGCACCATTTTACATCCTTACCAGCAATGCAAAGAGGTTCCAATCGCTCTACATTCTCAGCAACACTC